CGCATTCAGTTATCGGAAAACTGGCGCTCAATATCGAAAATCCATGAGATATTCCTCATATGAAATATGAAGTCCGTATTTTCCTATATTCATCATCGTGCTGGAGTCTCCAGCCGTGATTACATATTCGCTTTCTACGAATTTCCTGAATATTCATTCGCTGTCCTTTCGAAAAAAAGGCGTGGGCAATATCTCGAATTGAAAATGCGAACTCGAACATGGCGGATATTTCGAACGAATGGAGAAAGTAAGGCGGTTTTCGTGAGTACAATCGTCCTGCATCGAATTTTAAATGAAGCCCGCTCAATAAACAAAAAATAATTGAATACCATTTTATGAACAATGAATAAACGAATCATAATTGTCCAAATCATTTAGGGTAGAGGAAAATAGAATAATTCTATTTTCTTAATGCTGCGTTTACTAAGGTTTTCCTGGAACAAAGTTGATTAGAATCAATAGCTAGAATTATGAGATCATATCACTTTTTTGACGTTAAGGATAGGAGAATCTGAATGCAATATAGTGAAAACGATGATCGATTTTTTCACTTTGAACAAATAATGTTAATATCCAAATACAAAATTTCTGATATGATTAAAAAGAAGCTGTGACTCAGTATTCCAAATGAAGTTTTCATTTTTAATTTGGTGCTGAAAACATGAGACAATATTCTAAGCACAGAATTATATTGATGAGATGAACAACAGATTAATTGAATTACCGTGTGAACTAACTAAAAATTGATAACAGTATGGGTCCGCACTTTTACCAGAGTATCAATAAACATTGAATTCCAGGAATTCACACACTGAGGAAAAAATATATTTTTGCCAAATATTCATTTACTTGAGAGAAGTATTTACTTTTTCAAAATCGTATTTCTCCAATCGAGTGATTCCCAGGCGAGCCTGACTAAGTTTCAATTACAACAGTCATGTTGCTCTAGAGGATGACTATGTTGCACATGACCTTGGATGGACTCTTCTAAAGATTATTCATATTTCCAAAATTTTTCATTTTCTACAGGGAAAAATTTCGATCAATTTTTTAATGTTGATAATTATTGAAGAAGTTCACTCAAGGTCATAACTAACATGATCATATTCTAGAGCAATATAATTGACATAATTGAAACCTAATGAGGATTGCCTGAGAATGACTGAAATGAAGAAATACGGTATTGAAAAAATAAATACTTCTCTCAAGTAAATGGATATTTGACAAAAATAATTTTTTTTCTCAGCGCACTCTAAAGTGTGTTCTAAAAGGAATTCAATTACAATTATGATTAAAATCTTATTCAGGGAACGTAGGAATTAGAACATGAGGAAATCGTTTATTGTCATATCAAAATTTAACAGCTGACAGATTGGGACGTATGATTCTCATCGGTCGTATTCCTTCTTGCAATGATTTAGGAGGAAAAAAATGATATAAGACAACTTCATGGAACTGTCATCGTGTATAGATACTCCTTGTATTATTTTCTCTCGTATACCCTTTCGGGTTTTCATGATATATTCCCTTCCCACCCCCCAACCACCTGTACCGCATTCGCCGAAGGACGAGGGAAAACCTCACTTGAGGGAAAAACCTGCCCAGGTACAGTCGTCCCTTTAACGAGACTCCCGCTCGACAGTGAAACTGCGAGATTAGAGTGTTACAAATTTTGGCTCCCCAGCCGGGTATCGAACCCGGGTGGCTCACGTGCCAATCCCATACTCTAACCACACAGCCACGGCCGTCGGTGTGTATAGATACTCTTTTTCGCTAATTTTTTTGGTTCAACGAATTAATGTTCTTCAATAACTAGTGAATACATGAATTTACGTACTCACACGTACATGTCAATATTAGTTCCGCGTAGGCTATTTCGAGTGACTCCCGCAAAAACCTCGCAACTGAAAATTTTCACACAACCAGCTTTTACCATTTCATTGAAATTGAAAATGCAAAACCCCTTTGGCAGCATTACGCAACCAATTCAATAAACATCTGCTGTTGTACTAAACTGGGTAACTCCCACCGAAACAAAATGGAACAAATGCTAAACGTCGCCGACTGTTGCACAGCATCGAGCCAACCTCTACATTACAATTTTACACGACACGGGATTTTCCAGCTGTCGTAGTAATTCTACTCGACTCTAATTCGGTATTTGTCATCGTACAAACGAGGATGCGATAATGGTCTACACACACCCACACTCGAGAATCTTATCGCTCGTCACTGGAATTGATGGGGGAGACGTTGTATTGAACGAGGGTGAAATGCGCTTCGAACGGAAGCGTAAGGAAAATTCAAAACTTTAATAAAAAAATTGAAATTCCACGAACACTTGAGTACTGAGGCAATTTTTTCTCCAGTGAAATTCTTTTCTACTTCTGTAGTTGAACATCAGAGATTTCGTTTGAGCCCCATTTGACTCCAAGTGTCCGGACAGTTTACAGTGATTTTATTGTTTAAACTTTGCAGATCTGAATTTGAATCTCGATATTGAACCGTTGGATAATGCTTTAATTATTGAAGATTAATGAAATAATTTAAAGAGTGCAACTTTTGAAAATTACCAGCATTTTCTGCACATAATTTATAAACAAATTTTCCACCCTAAAAATAATAATAATAATTTTACCAGAAATCGATTTCATGCCTTAAAGAATAAGGTTTCCGAAAGTTTAAACAATTTCAATTTTTTATTTATAAGCAACGAATGTTTAAAAAATAATAATTCTGTGCAAAGTGTAATTTCAATAACGCTGAATATTCATGATTTTTTTTCAAATTTTTCTCACGCAATTTAATTGACAAATTGGATAATTTAAAATGGTGGAATTTATAGTGTGGTCCGTAGCAAACTGTAAAAAATTCTTGGATATCGTTAAATAATTATTTCCCTGGAATTTATTAAAAATCTAAATTGAATATTGACAAATATTCATTCATTTTTTACCTCTTCCGTCAGTTCCGTATACGAACCTCAAATTTTCCTGATATTTTCTTTCCATCAAATTGTGAATTTTCAGGGCCGAAATTCCTTAAAATTTTAGTGAAACCGATACTCGATAAAAATATCCGAGAAATGTACCAACACTTTCCCTCAAAAATTCTCAAAAGTGAAGAATTTATGCCTAAATTTTCCCACAAAAATTTCCTATTTTGAGCAATTCCACATGACTCCGACATTTCGAATCAATTCAAACCAGAATCGATGCATTCAATTATCTGGAAGCATCCCATCGGTCCGCAAAGGGTCTAAACACACATAAACAACCGCTCCCCGTCTCTCCCAAGAAAACCCAAACTGAAAAAAATCCCCAACTTCTGTATTTATCCAAACAATAAGTGCTTTCCCCGGGACGGCGAGACGATTTCCCTAGGGAGTAAGATCGAAAAATTGAGAACGGTTTATGTGTGGACGCACAGCGGAAGCAAAAAAACCCAAGGAAAATACGTAAAAGAGTCGCTTGGAATGAGCACAACTACCAAGGCACAACACAGAGAAAAAGTGCAAACACAAAAGGGGGGGAAATTGGACGTCGAGTGAGATGCTGAGAGAGACTCCGGTGAGAATGAGGGAGGAATGATAGTGAGAGAGAGGGGGTGAGGGAGAGGGACGTTTTCACCATGGGATATTCTGGATCAACGCTTTGGCTTTTAAAGCTCGATTATCTCGCTCCCTGCTTCACGTTCGCCTTCCACCCCTTCCCTCTTTCATTTTCCCATCCCAATCCCCTTCCTCTCGTGGATCTCCTCACTCTTCTCTTGCGTTAAATTAGGTTTACGCTGGGCTCTCTCTGAAGACGAGTACAACGATGACAAGGAGCGACGATTGCCCGTAGGGCGAACTGAGATTTTAACTGAACCCTCTTCTCCCACCCCCGGGTGGGGATGCTACGATCTTATTCCCACCCGTCCCGAAAATAGACTCTAAAGTCCCCCCAGATTTTCCTGATTTTCCTTTCACTTTGAAATGTTTGAAGTGTTTATTCTCGCATCGGGAAAAATTGGTTTATCGCGGGACTTTTGCTTGAATGTTCCATGAGAGCAGGTTACTTTAATCGTTAATTATCTAAAAATTCTGGATAACTTTTTTTACATTGTAACTTTCAAGGAATTCAAAGGTTTTCGGCACTCAGAAAACGATAATTTGGCAACTTCCCGAGTGGAAATTCTGTTCAGGTCTCGATCAGAAACTGATCAAGTCCGATCCGAAATTCTGATCAGGCATGTTACGCCTCTGCCTTATGTTTTTCCACTAGGATTTCTCCACCTACCATCATTAGGCATTAATTAAATTTAATTTTTTTGAGAGAAAAAATTAGTAACTTCCTAGCCGGGAATTGAACCCGGGACCTCCCAATGTCGCGTTGGGTGCTTTTACCATCTGAGCTACCAGGACACTTACGAATTTCACTCTCAAATTGAAAAGGTGAAAAATTTTATTTTGGTCCAATATATTCACTGAAATTTTTTGAAAAATATAAAAAGGGTCCAACTTTGAAAATGACTTGTTTTTTGAAGTTTTTTTAGGATTTTCTGAGAAAATTGATGGAAGAACGAATTGAAAAAAATTGGCATATTTTTATGTGGAAAGTGTGTTCGAAGACGCACATTTTGTAAAAAAAAAACTTAAATCGGTTGATTTTTATGGAAGAGGCCATCTGCCTCCCATTTAAAACATGAATTTCTTTGAATTCTACCTAAAACGAGAAATTTCATAACCGTTGTTCCCGTAAATCCGACTCAATGTCACTCTTATGAGAATGACTATCATATTTCTCATGAAAGTTAAAAAAATTTCTAACAGTGTATCCCTTTCTTCATCTCCATCAGTTATTCCACATGCATCCGACAATTGTTTGTTTACAATGAATTAAGAATCAAGCGAACGCAGGCTGTTCCAACCGCCGCGCATCGCTCACATAAATCTCAGAGAGAGATCCTGCGAATGTCTGAAAATTGTCTGACCTTTTGTTCTCGTTCTGTGTTTTTAGGACCACCCGGTGAGCCAGGACCTCCTGGGAAAAGAGGGAAAAAGGGAAAGAAGGGTGACACTGGGGAGCCCGGAGCACAGGTGAGTCTCCAACATTCAATCTCAATTGACGATTCTCTGTGTCAGAATGTGGCACTAGGGGAGAATTGGGGAGTTTTTATGGGCTGTGATCATGAGTGATCAGGTCGAGCATGATCAAGGCATGGGGAATATTGCACGCTTCAACCCTCGGCTTTTATTTATGGAATCGATCGAGAACCCTGTCTCCCTCTTTCTCGCTCTATTAGGATGGCTGTGGGGGTGTTTATGGTGCCCTAGTGGTGTCAATAATAACATTGAAGAGTCGAATATGTGCCCCGTCTTGATACGATGGGCTTTAGTTTTGCTTTCGCTACTGGGGGTCTAGAGAGAATAAAAGTTTTTCCGATTGGGAGTCTAATTGGAAAATCAGATATTCATAACTTCATTAGAATTGGATAATGCATAAAGAGAAAAATTAAGTTTCTGGTAATAAAAAATTTATAGAAAATCCTGACGCTTTCTCTAAGAAATTTTGGAGTTTTCGGAGAATCCTGAAATTTTATTCATCTAATGCGGCCATTCTGTTGAAAGTTATGTAACTTTCACATACGTTTTTCAATGAATATTGGTTCATAGGAGAAAGTGCGATATTAAAAATTTTCCATGCCCGGATTCTAAGAGAATTAGAATTTAGAGAGAAGAAATTTCCGCTTCACCCAGCCGGGAATCGAACCCGGGTCTCCCAGATACGCGCCGGGCACTCTTACCGACTAAGCTACCGAGAACCACAGAAATTCACTCTCAAATTCACCTCAAACGCAAAAAAAAAAAGAATTCTAAGAGAATTAGAATTTAGAGAGAAAAAATTTCCGCTTAAAAATTTCCGCTTCACCCAGCCGGGAATCGAACCCGGGTCTCCCAGATACGCGCCGGGCACTCTTACCGACTAAGCTACCGGGAACCACAGAAATTCACTCTCAAATNTCCATTGAAATGTCAAGAAATTTTGTCATTGAACATTCATAATTTCATGGAAAAATGCAGTAAATGCAGGAAAAATGAAGTAAATTTCAGTCCAACTATTCTGAGAAAATTGATGATAAATCCGGAAAATCCAGATATTCCCTAAAAATTCCAGCAAATTGAGCAGTCAATATGCACTTTCACGTGAAAATTCATGTAAATTGTGGAATTTCCATCTTCCTGCCGCTAAAAAATTATGACTTTACTTGAATTTCTGGAGCAACTTGAAATTCCATTGACTTTTTCACATAACTCATTCCATTGGAATTCAGTAGCGAAGTGGTAAAAAGGTTAAATCGACTCATCTCCCAGTTGAGTTTTTGAGGAATATTTTCGAATTTAGGGGAGATAGCGAAATTTTCGTAATTACATTTGTTGTAGTAATCAATCGGCGCTACAAAAAAGGTTATAACAACAATTTTGCTATCTCCCTTAGATTCCGAGATATTGATTGAAAACTGGTCAATAGTCAAAATTGACTTATACCGTTTTACCACTTCGCTACTGAATTATTTCTATAAGAAATCTTGAAGAAGAATTTTCAATTTTTAAAAACTTTTGTTATGGGGAACAAATGAAAATACAATTAAAAAAACATGAAAAATTATGTACAAGAATTACCATCGAAACATAAAAATCTATTGACATTTTTCTATGAAATATCTCTTAACAAAATGACAAGGTAAATGACATAATCTTCAATAGAATTAGCGCTAAAAGAAGAATAATTTTTAAAAAATAGAATTTCAATAGAACTTCAATAGAATTGTTATAGACTTCCAATAGAATTTCCTAAAGAAAGCGCCAAGTTTAAAGATTAAATTTTTTCGCGTTTTTCGGAAAAACTTTTTCTTTCTCTCTACGTCACTGCGAAGAATTTATAGGAATTTTCATCATTTAACACAAAGGCTATGGGGGCTTGGAATGCACCAAATAAGCAAGCATTAATACCCCAATAAACCCCTTTTTTTAATTACTTTTGACTCCTTTTTCCAGGGTGTAGCGGGGACCGCGGGCAAGAACGGTTTTCCGGTATTTTGTTATATTTTTTTACTCCATTCATCCTCCTCTCTCTCTCTCTCTCTCTGTCTCTCCTTCTGTATCTCACCCCATTCATACTCTCATTAATTTATCCTATTACTTCAGAAAATTTAATTTACGATTTGAATCACGAACATGAGCTTTAACGAGGTGCGAGGTTTATTTTTTCCGGCGCTTTTAATTCATGATTTAAAGTTGGCAGTGCAATTTATTCAGCTCCGATGAGAATTACGACGGAATTAAATAGATATCCGGGATGATAATAAATTCCAAGCTATTGGGGGATATTCATTCTCAGCCTCTTTAATTCAATCAATCGTAATATTCCAGGGTGCTAAAGGTGAAAAAGGCGAACCTGGTGTCACGGTAAGACTTTCTAAAGCAAAAAAAAATTCGTTCATTGTTTAGTTGATTGTCAGAGATTATAGAGTGACAATTGTTCCTGCAGCTTATAATGAATAGTCCGACATTTCATAGCACACCTCCTTTATTGTACGCCAACGCTGAGGGGTAATGACTGTGGGAATTATTTCGAAGTCAAATGAAATCATTGTGTGCACCCTAATCGCTGTTTTATTTTGATATCAAATGAAATCATTGTATGCATTCTAATCTCTGTAACGTGATGACTTGAACGCTTTGAAAGTTTAAACATCGGTTGAAATTGATGAAAGCAGTATCGGGTGTATATTCGCGGCGAATCGTGTTGATGAAATCGATATAGACTAGTGCAAATTTTGTGAATTTTGATCCGGAATTTACTTGACTCGAGTAGGAAAGATACTTGATTCAAATAATAACAATAGTTAATTCAACTCGGACAAATACTTGATTTACGTAGGAAATATACTTGATTCAATTAGGTAAGACACTTGATGCAAGTAGGAAAGACACTTGATTCAAGTAGGAAAGACACTTGATTCAAGTAGGAAAGACACTTCATGCAAGTAGGAAAGACAATTGATTCATGTAGAACAAATACTTGATTCAAGTAGGAAAAATACTTGATTGAAGTAGGTAAGACACTTGATTCAAGTAGGAAATATACTTTATTCAAGTAGGAAAGGCACTTGATTCAAGTAAAAAAAAACTTGATTCATGTAGAACAAATATTTGATTCAAGTAGGAATAGCACTTGATTGAAATAGGAAAAATACTTGACCCAAGTAGGAAAGATATTTAATTCACATAGGACAGATACTTGAATCAAGTCGCCAATTCAACTTGGCATTTCTGGACACACTTGATCCAAGTCCACGAAATCTGCTTAAAATGAGTAGATTCTCGACTTGATTCCATCTCACTCACATTCACTAGAAGCACCGGATGAAATCGACAATTTTTTTTTACGTACAGTCACGGAATCATGTTACCTAACGCTTGAATTAATTGAAATGAATTTCCCGTGAAATTGACTTTATTTCGAAGTCATAATGTCACTCAATCCTAGTGGCCAACCCCTCGTCTCACCATTAGTCCAATAAAAGTGTAAGCGAAAAAGAGATGAAACAATGCAGAAAAGAACGAATCCAAGTAATTCAGGAGTTTGACGTGGGCATGCTATGGCAAACGTAACCACTAATGTAATTTTCCCCCTCAGTTCGGGAACGTACGAATCACGCAATACGAAATTCTACCCTCCAATATACGACTAAACTCGGGAATTCACCCAAACTCCCTCCGTCTTTCATTTGCTTTCACGTTATATGCGTTACGTGTTTGTAGACCAACTTTACCTCGAATATTCCACGGTATGTGTAGATTTCCAACTGGTCACCTCGTTTTCGTGTTCGATTCTGCGGTCAGTCGAAAACTGGATTTAGGGTAATCCTGTAAATGTTCCATTTGCCATCCCTCGGGAGACGCGGGAACCGTAATCCATGAAATTCTAGACCAAAATCGTCCGGGAATTGTAGTTACTCGTTCAATTCTAGTATTTGGTTGCTGCATTGCCAACTGTTGAAAGTTTTCAGGGCAAATGGGTAATTGGGTTGGAGGCGCTGGTGTCTATTGAGTTGATCCCATGGAAATTGAGAAATTTTTTTGAATAGTTTTTTTTTCGTTATTCATTAATAATTCGGTTTAGCTTGTTCTAATTAATATAGTCCATTGTGAATGGATATTGTGAAATTGAACGATTCATTTTATTTCGATGAAGCTTTTTATTGCGGATATTGCGCATGAAAAAATTCAATAGAAAATATTCTGTCAAAAATTCTGGAGAAAATCTTCTATAGAAATAGCACTAAAAACTAATTGAATGTGGGAATATAACAAATTTCGAAATATACCCCTTCCCTCATTGAGAAAAAAATTAGCTCTGCCGACTCCTATCAAAAAATATATTTAAAAAATAAATAATATGGGCCAATTCCACATATTTTTCAAATTTATAAAGAATATATAAAAAATATGTATAAAACATATTTTATATATTTTTCAAAATATACATTTTTCTGCGTGGGGAAAAACTATATATTCCACGTGAGAATATTGGATGGAGTGGAACAGATTTAATTAAGGAAAATTAACCAACTTGATAGAAAGAAATTTAATATCTATCACAAAAATTAAATTTTTGTCGTGATCATCAGAAATATCCCTAGAAGAATTCGAACTATTGGCAGGAAAAAATATAATCTATTGTACGACATTCACTTGATGTGAGAGAACACCATAGGTTTATACCACAGAAAGAATACATTGACGAGGAAAGAATATTTTATTCCCAAAAAAAAATTGTCCCCTCGAAATTACTTAATTCTGCCAATAACACGGTTTTCGGCAAAAAATTGCAGTTTCCTCTTGAAATTGTCATGTTTTGGTGGAAACTTTCTTTTTCGTCCACAAGTAAATTGATTTAACATGACAAAAGATCTCTTCAGGGGTACATATAATTTTTCAGCAGAACTAATTTTTTCTCTGAGTGTATATAGCGATCGTTATGAGTATCCTCCCTCGAATCGATAACTCTCTTCGAATAGTTCTCACAGCAATAACTGAATCAGTACAATTACTCTGGGCGCAGAATGCACTTTTCCCCTAGCGAAACATCGTAGGAGAGAAATACAATACCGAACGATATTTTTAAAGTTTCCGGTGTCACGTGTTTCGATATTGAATTCGGACGCCATATGCCGAGAAGTGGTTTTAGTTTAATACCTCAATTTTTGTATTCTTCACAGTTTGTTCCTTTATATCACACGAGAATGATATATCGGGGCACTCTGTACAGGCGGATATTTTTCGATACTTCTTTCATTTCATAAAATTCATACTTTTCTGTTTCATCTGGATGTTCTGAGGCTGTGGCGGAAGGAGAATTTTATTAATATCATTTTATCGTTTGCAGGGGCCGATTGGTTTGGATGGACCCAAGGGAGATCCGGTGAGATTATTTCATATTTCAATATCAACAAACAAAATTAATTAACAAATTCATCGATTAATCAGTTATTTAGTTGATTAATCCGATCTATGAATAAATTAATGAAGTCACTGTTCATTTAGAATACATAATATTTAATTTATTTTTTTAATTTATTTATGAAATTAAATAACTATTGAAATTAACAGATTTGTCTTTTTTTCATTTTTTTAAATTTCTTATTCGACAATGCTATTGAAATTCCTAAATAGTTTTCAATAGAAAATTTTACTAGTTTTTAGCCGTTAAGATTGAAGAATTTAGCAGCTTTTCTGTGCGTTATTTATAGAAAATTTCCAATAGAAACTTTTTTGTAGAAAAAATCAGTAAAATTTCATTTTTCTATCAAACTTTTTCTATTGAAACATTTTCTATGGGAATTCGACATGAATTCTCCAAGTTTTTTCCATTCTCTTTTTCTCCTCTTTGCATTAAAAAAATCGGACAAAATAATTTGGAAAGTTTGAGGCAAGGAATTTCTATAGAAAATATCTCGAATTACGGAAAATATTTTTTTTTTCCATAAAATATTTTCTATTGAACACTTCTATCGGAAAAAACCACCAAAAGCTAATAGAAAATCGAATAGAAATCGAATAGAATTCTCCAGCAAATTCTCTAGGTTTTCCCATCAATCAATCAATCCTATTCTTTAAAAACTCAATTGATAAATATTGAACTGCTTGTAGGGTCGACCCGGTGACAAAGGACAGAAAGGCGAGCTTGGAAGTCCAGGCTTTGACGTCTTCTCGGCTGTAAAGGTATCTACCATAAACAATGGGGACTCTATCAGAAAAAAAATACTACTATTCGGAAGAACGTATCATACGGTACACTGGCTCACCGATTATTATTCATTGCGTGTTGTTGTCATGTCCACTGTATTACAACTATCTATAAATAAATTGGACAGAGTAATCTTCTCAATTCGCTGTCTCATCGAATCATAAATAGCAAATATTCACTCAACATTATTCATCATCATCAAAATCCATTTGATCATCCGAAACAAATCGAACGCTGATGACTTACTCCTTGATAACGACAGTTTAGGTGAATCCATTATCTAACGCACAGGATCTGTCATGATCAATCACTTTGCGAAGAGAAAAGTTCAAGGATTACTGTCCTTTTCTTTTATTGATTGATAGTTCTGTTTAGTAGTCTGTTGTTTCAGGAAGAGGAAAGTTGCACGATTTTTTAAAATATTTTCAAATCTCAAGTTTAGAACCTCAATAAATGATTTTTCAATCATAGACTTTCAAAATATTTTTCAATAATTAATAATTAATTACCACAAAATATTTAGGCAGTATTTTTCCGTACTTTCCGTTGCTTAACGATTCATTTCTGTTCTTCTCCAAAGGAAGAACGCTTCGTGAAGTTGTTTTATATCGAAATATATCGAAACTACTCACTCGCTAATCCTCAATTCTGATTAATCCATGAGACGCGTGAAGTTAATCACTGAAGAAACGCGCGGTATTTTGAAATTCTTCAAACTCACAAATCATTCTTTGCGTCATAATTGTTAATTTTCTTACGCGGAGAAAATAATTTAGTAAATTTCACCAACTAATTGAAATTTAACAACTAATTGTAGATTATGGCGAAACCATCTTCTAGGCGAGACATTGATCGATTATCAAGATACAAATGATTGCGGGATTGTTTCCAAATGTATATATGCCCTCACCATCTACTCTGGTAGGCAAACTTGATTGAAGATTGATTTTTATTGATTGATTTTTATCGAAAATTTAACAAATAGTTGTCGAACGAAATTGAAAAACCTTTTTTGAATTTTCATCAATTGTTTGTAAAATGTTGAATTTCACCAACTAGTTGTTGAAATTCAACGGTAAATTTTTGCATCCGCAGACCTGTGTTTTACCAAACGAATCGTAACCTATCCTCCGCCAAAGTATCCTCCATTGAATTCCAATTTCGCTCCACGATTGCCTTTCATATATCAAAATTTGTCGCGATTTTCTAGATAATTCTTATCCAACTTTTCTCTCCGTGTATTCAGTTCACTGCCGCCATTAATTATTCTTGAAAAACCACTGAAGGTCTGAATCACTTCAACAGCTGTCTCACCAAACCGAATGGATCCGCCTAACTCGTCGGGCTAAAGATTACTCTGTCTAAAAATCAAAATCAATGTCTAAACACAACAATACATGCAAGAAAACAATAGCCCATAACAAAGTCAATAAAAATCAATGTGTTCGTCCTACGGGTCAATGCACAGGGATTGGGGTTAAAGAGATCAGTGACAACACTGCGCGGTGGAACGCTTGGCTACGCCGAAATCGTCGCCCTAAAGGTAACAACCGCCGTTGGAAGCCTCGAACTCGTTATTATAGTTTTCTTTTTATTCTCCACTTGAATGTTTATAAATAGTTATTGAGCGTTATCGTTCGCCTTTCGTGTATTGTTAGAATACCTTGAGGTTGCTTGCGGTGTAGCTATTCTCTCTTGTATTTATTCTTAGATATAGCGTTATCAATAGCGAAGGAGAACAGTGGAAGCTCTTGCATTATCATTTGGAATGCGAGAGAAAGTAGTAGTGAAAGTTTAATTTTCCTCATTTCTTATTCTTTTTGGTATTATTTAGTGGAGTTTGAGTTTTAGGATTTTGTTTCGGAAGCATGGTGGAGAACGAAGTGATGAGATCCCTTCCAATTTTTGAACACATTGGGTCCTAGTTAATGACGCTGATATTGACCTGACGAACAGACGTTTTTGGTTTATTTTACTGATGTGAGAGATGAGTTGAGGATATTCATGTGGAAGGATTCTTGTGATGATACTGGTTTCCAAAAACTAAAGCGTGAAGGTTAATTGTATGGGTGAAATGTGATGGTCACACAGGTCAAATTATGGATGGAATCACCCGTGTAAATCTAAGAGTCAATTGCGCGGGTCAAATCGTCCGGATGAAATCTCATTGGTCAACTCGTACAAGTAAAATCTAACTAACGGAAATTGTTATGATTCTGGGGTCAAGTCCCAAGGCTGAACTCGGGTAGGTCAACACTGAGGGTCAAGTAACTCAAACTAAGGGTTAAGCATAGAAGTTGAACTTTACAGTTAATAAAATCCAGAACTTGGGGTCGAGTGGTAGAATCGTGGAGGTTAAAAATGAAGGTATAATCGGATTGGTAGAATCGTACTTGTCGGAGTGAAGGTCAAACATGAGCATTCAATTGTAAGAGTCAAGCTGGGAGTCAAGTCACATAGGTAAAAGTGTAAGATAAGGTTTAAGTATGGGTCAAATTGTATAGGTCAACTCTTATGGGTCAAATTGTGAGGTCAAGTCTAGTAAGTAGAATCATGTGAATGAAATCATGATGGTAAAATTCTATGGATTCCATCTTAAAGGCCAAATTCCATTGCCCAAGAATAAACCAAAGGGTCAACTCATATAAGTAAAAACCTATCGGCCAAATTAACGGAAATTTCAAAGCTGCGAACCAAGTCATGTGGTAAAAGTGTTAAACTATAAGACTTAAGCATGGATCAAACTGTATAGGTCAACTCTTATGGGTCAAATCGTAAATTCGAAATCGTGTGGATCAAAATCCATAGATCAGATCTTGGGAATCAAATTGTACGAGTCGAATCCGGAGGGTGGAATCATATAGGACAACTTGTGTGGGTCAACTATTTCAGATGAAATGATGTGGGTCAAATCAAGCGGGTCCTACAGGACGAATCCAACGGATCAAATCTTATGAGTAAAAGCCTTTTGTGGAAAACAATTTCATCGCAAGAGCTACCCCAATATCCCCAATTGACTAACTCTCTCACCACCTCACATCCAATAATTTGCTCACCTGTAGTCAACCTACTTCTAGGGCCTCCAGGAACGTGGCCATAATATATCAGCGCAGACCATCATCCAGCTGAAAGTAAGTCCTTCAAGTACAACTAGGACGTGAAAAGCTTCTCGAACGTGACAAGACTGTCACTTTATAACACTCAATTTTACAACTTCCTGACTAACTCTACTCATCCCTCCTCGATGCTTAGTCGACTTTGATTTCTTATAACATGCTCTCACGACGCCCCACACTCACCCAAACCGAGGGAAAATCTAATTAACGTCGAGTCTAATAATTACTGGAGTAAGCACCATTCCATTCTCCTCCTGAAACTTCTCATCCACTAACTATCTCGTTACTCCTCTTCTCCCAGTACTTTTTTTTCTCTTCATTTCTCTTTTCTTCATTTATTTTTGAACGTAATTGGTGTGCTGGAGTATACCGGGTGCATTTTCGATGAACTCATCGCATGATCGATTCTACCTTCGTGTTCATATCATACAACACACTATTTCTTTCTACAGTGGAAGTATCGTACCAATAGCTGTTTTATTAAAAGATATTCTTCCAGGAATATATAGGGCCACAGCCTATAGCCTTGGGTGAACAACCCTTAAATAAATACCACGTACAAACTCACTGGTCTATGTACACTTGGCTCATGATATTTCCACAATAGTTATTTCAGTCCAAACGATCATGTGGACATTACGTATCTCGATGTCTGGAGCGTGCATGAATACATTATCTAGACAGATGATGCACCATCTTGTATCAACAATGATCGATGCACTGTCTGCTGGTATCAAAATTATGTCTAGAGGTTGTCTATTATCTTTCTGTTTGCTCGATGTTTCATTATCTGGGGACAATCTCGTGCCTGATCGCTGCTGTTCAGATGTGATTGAGATTAATAGAATGAGATTTGAGAGATTGAATGCCCTAGAAAAACTAGGGTTTGAAATTAAGACGTTTGTATTTCCAAATTAAGATGTCTTACTCGAGGATTTTTAGCTTCAAACTCATGATGTCTCGTTTATTTTGCCAAATCCTTCTTTCATTTTCTCTCAATAACCACAAAGTTATTGTACTGTCGTAGTGGTGTCATCACAAATTACTAATGAATGATTAGTCTTAAATTTGGTGACTAGTATTCCAAGACATAATGAAAATGTCTCGTCTATCAAGCGTCTTGCATTTAGACAGAAAAACGTCTCATTTTAAGACGTTTGAAGTTTCATTCAGACATTTTTGTGTCTAATTTCGTAACTTAAGACGTCTTGAAGACATTAGGTCTTACGGTGAGAAAATATCAATAGTATTTGGGTGAATTTAGGGAGAGCCAGGTGAGCCAGGACCCCCTGGACCTCCCGGACCACAAGGTGCTGAGGGAATAGCTGGACAGGACGGCAGACAAGGAATACCTGGGGAAGTTGGACCTGCGGGAGAGAAGGGCGTTGCTGGACCTGAGGGACCACCTGGACCCGTCGGCCCACCAGGACCAGCAGGACCCAAAGTGAGTTGTTGCCTTCATTTGCATAGAACGGAATGTCTTTTGCTGGGTCATAAATTTCTGGGGCCGATTTACATTCAGAAGGACAATTTTTTCAGAAGAATATTCTCCGTCGGTGATTGAGTCACGAGGAAATTCTTATGAACAGAAGTATGCAGATGTTTCTGTTTCAATGAAGGGTCCTTCTGTATGTAGTCGAGTATCTAAAACCTCGTGGATTGATTGAATTCCGATAGACTCCATTATTTCAAGGCACTTGATGTCTTTCAAGAAGCTCAACTTCAACGACTTCATGAATATTGATGGATTTGTCTCATTTCTCTTTGTTTGTTCTCCTGTTTATTACATTATAGGGAGCAACGGGGCGAGTCGGTATCAGAGGCTTTCCAGGACGACGTGTGAGTTGATACTGCTGATGTGTGCTATATACATTGCGAAAAATAGTATCTCAAATTGAGTCTCAGAATATCAAAGTACTTGACTTTTCAATAAACACGTGGTTATTCAGGAATTAATTGAATGTATTCACATGAATTTGCCTGATTTCTATCAATTTTTATGACACTATTGAAACGTGAGCCAATTTTTGGCAGTGGTTAATACTGAATGAAGGAAAGTGTCTTAAATTCAGTAGCGATGCGGTAAAACGATTCAAGTCGACTTTGCTCCTGGCGGTTTTCGAGGAATATCTCCGAATCTAAGGGAGCTGGCGAAATATTCGTCATGGCCTTTTTTGTAGCTCTCAATTCGCTCTACAAAAAAGGTTATGAGATAAATTTTGATATCTGCTTTAGATGGCGAGTAATTCATTGAAAACAGACCAGTAGTCAAAATCGTCTTGAATCATTTTACCATTTCGCTACTGAATAACGACACAAGCATGTCAATGAAGACACTTTAGTTCTCTTTCCCAAGACATTGGTCCAAAAAGGTTTTGAAGAAGAGTTGGCTTTTGGCTATTTCCGAGGAATATCTCCGAATCTAAGGGAGCTACCGAAATATTCGTCATGACCTTTCTTGTAGCGTTCTGTCACATACGTCTTAAATTAAGACGACCTCAGGACACTAGTTTTCGCAGTGTGTATTCAATTCAATGTATTCACAGGGCTAACTTGGGTTGTGAGCAACTAACTCAAACTAACGTAAAGTAGATTTGTCGTGCAGTGGTTGCTTGTTTCTTAACAACACCATCACAATTCGCTCAGCGGGGGAAATGAGCTTGGAAACACTGAGGCTTCTGATTTTCGGAAGGGTTGTGGCTACTGTAGATGTACGTCGCTGGCTCTAATAGGATGTTGACGAACTCCCTGGTGGATCTAATCAATTTCTGATAGAGAATAATTTCTTTGTCTTACTCAAATTAATTTTTTTCGTTTTGTGAACTATCTTCGTGCGAGGAATGTGGGTAATTGTTCACTGAAGGTTATTATTGTCTCGTCCACAGGGTGACAAGGGCGACAAGGGTGAGAGAGGCTTCACGACATCACTGGACGGAAAACAGATTCCTCTTGGGACGTTCGAGGGTCCACCCGGTCCCCCAGGACCTCCTGGTAAGCCAATGGCTACTGTATTCTTTCTATTGTCTTCGGGAATAATGTACTCTTTCATAATTACTTCAACTATTTTACTTCATCATAAAAAACATGCTCAACAAAATTCCATAGAAAAACCTAGCGAATTCGCAACATCACAACTTCAAACGAATTTACTCCTTTCAATTCCCTAGCTTTCCTTGAAAATTCCTCTCGTAAATTCAAAAAGCCTCCCACATGATGAGGAAATGCCTTCCAAAGAAAGGAAAACTCGGAAGAAAAAAAATAGTCGCCGCAATCCTTCGATTTGTCTAAAAACTCCAGTGTCGATTATCGTGGTTTTCGCCTCTGCTCACTTATTCTCATCTTCCAAAATATTTCACATTTCCACGACTTTTTATTCACTAGTTTTTATCACGACAGAGTTATGAAATTCACAGATTTCCACGGGAAACTGTAAACCTTCTTTCTCAGTTTCATTTGAAATAATTTCATAAATTCCAGAAAAATCACTTGGGTCAAATCATATGGATAAAATCCTATGGATCAATTATAGAATGCTTTTCTCTGTGACTACAAAACCCTCCCCCTCACATCGCAACTCCAAAAGAATCACCCCGCACAGAGGAAAAACGTAGATTAGCTTTAGAAAAAAGTTTCTAAATTTTAGACAGCGTGGTTGCCCAGAAACTCCAGTGTCGATTATCGTATCAGTGTCAATGTTCTTCAGAATCAACGACAAAAGGAACAGACCCAGAGATTTTCTAGTGTCAACACTGCAATTTTTCTTGCGCTTTATTTGAAAAAATTAACAAATTGGAAGCAAAATTTCATATTATTGGAGAAGTCTGGAGACAGTCTGGTAGTCATTTGCATAAAATTGAGATTAAGATTGAATTCAATTTGGGGGAAAAATAATGATGAAATTTCATAACTTACCTAAATTCTCAATTTTCATACAATTGTCCCTATGCCATTTATAAATTTGGGAAAAATCATACAAATTAATTATAAAATCCTACTCTCTGTGACTGCAAAACCCTCCCCCTCACATCGAAAGTCCAAAACAATTCACCTCAACTTCCAATCCCCCAACTTTCCTTGAAAATTCGTTCCACACATTCAAAAAGTCTCCCAAACAATGGAAAACGGCAAGAAAAAAAATGGCCAGCAACTCTTGCGTCGATTATCGTGTCGGTGTCAATGTTCCTTAGAATCAATGACAAAAGGCACAGATCCAAAAAATTTCTAGTGCCAACACTGTAATTTTTCTTGTGCTTTATTTAAAAAAATTGACGAATTGATAGCACAATTTCATATTATTCGAGAACAATTGAAATTTCATAGACAATCCGGTAGAAATTTGCATAAGAATGAGATTCAATTCAATTAGGGGAAAAAATCATAATGAATGTCATGACTTACTTAAATTCTTAATTTTCACCTGAATTTTCATGGAATTGTCCACACGGGATTTCAAATGATTCCGTAAATTTCTTAAAATCATATGAATTATTTATAAAATCCTTCTCTCTGTGACTGCAAACCCCTCCCCCGTCACATCGCGATTCCAAATGAATTCGCCCCAAACTTTCAATCCCCACCTTTCCTTAAAAATTCCTCCCCCACATTCAAAAAGCCTCCACGAACCGAACGAAAAGAAAACACGGAAGAAGAAAAAATACTTGCCGCAGTCTTTTGACTTGTCCAGAAACTCCAGTGTCGATTATCGTGGCTTTCGTCCCCGCTCACGTATTCCCACCAATTAGAACTTTGTCCAATTGTAACTTTTAGATTGCACCCGGTGGACTTGTCCGTCTTCCGTTATACTTTCATTCTCTCCTTTCTTTTTCCCTCCAACACCCTTCCTCGCCCCTCTGCCTCCTCCTCCTCCACCATCCACCCCCTCCGCCCCTTCATATCTGCGTCGTTCTACGCCTAACACTCTCTTTTTTCTCGAGAAAACCTGCACCCGATCAATGCCGATACCTCACGACGGTGCGACGAGGAGAAATGTCATCTCTTTCTGTCTCACTCTCCCCATTTTTTTCTCATTTATCTCGTCTTTTTGCCTCGGCTCCTCCGTCTGGTATTCCCTCTGTCTTTTTCTATCGATTCGGCTTAGCGTTCTTTTGTCCCCAATCTTTTGTATTTCGGATTGAGGCAGGGGGGGGGAGAGGAAGGAAGAACCGACTAATGCTAATAATAATTGCGATCGTGAAACTGGCAAAGGATGAGAAAAAAGAGGACAGATGGATGATGCGCGGGGGGGGGGCAGTCAAGGGGATGTAGATGAAAAATATTTCAGATGATCCCCTCAAGAAAAAGACGACGAGAGGAAGGAATATAAATCCCATGCAAATCCTTCCAGTGAACCTCATTCTCCTCGTGCTTATTCTACTCAACTCTTTGTGAAAATCATCTTCTGCTTGAAACGCGGAGAGAAAAGTCCGGGAATTTTTGCCGGAGATTTTGGAACTCATTGCAGTGTAGAACTGCAAGATTTAATTTTTTAAATTATTATTAATGGATTCGGCTGTTTATGTATCGCTTTTATGAGGCTTTTCGTTGCCACTATTTCAGGATTACATTGGAGTTATTCTAGTTTAGTTGTGAGCTTTTTTTGTGACATCGAATTGAATATTTTTTTAAGTAGACCGAGAGAAATAGTATATTTCAGGACGAATGCCATGGGGTTTTTTACTTGCGTGGAGTTGGCGTCCGAGCCGAAGGCGAGGTTTAAAAAAACCCCATGGCACTAGTCGTGAACGATATTCTTCCGTAGTGATTTTCACTTTTACGAGTTTGGGAAAGAGCTAATACGAATCCCCGGACGAGGAAAAGTGAAGAGCAGTACGGAAATAATTAGTAGTGATGCCGCGAGACACTTTACGAGAGAAAACTTTGGAAAGATGATCTCGGTCTCAATGAACATGAAATTCTTTGCTTTCATCTCAGTCTCGAAAGATGCAAGATGAGAAGCAGTATCGACTCTTCTCGTGATGACTCTGCGTCAATTTGTCTCACCTCGGTGTCAAGTTTTTCGTGTTTTTTAATGTAACTCGGTTGTTGTCTCGGTTTGTCTCGTCTTGATTTTCTACATATAAAAAACGTGAAAAACTGGAAACCGAGATGAGATAAATTGAATCAGAGTCATCACTGACTGAGACTGAGATAATCGCTCCAAAGTATTGTCTCTTGCTGTCTCGTAAAATGTCTCGCGGCATCACTAAAAATTAGCTCTGCCGAAAAACTAAATATTCCACGTGAGAATATTTAATGGATTGAAACAGATTTGCTTAGGGGAAATTAACCAACTTGATAGAAGGAAATTTAATATCTTTCATAAAAATTAAATTTTTGTCGTGATCTCCATAGGTTTATACGATAGAAAGAAAACATTGACTGACATTGAACTGTTTTACAGTTTCGCCACTAAAACACTTAATCTCTACCAAAATTTAAAAAAAAGTATTTACTATTGAAATAGCGTGAATCGCCTTTAGCATAACAATCTAAAATGACTTTTCTCTCCGTAAAATAATACATCATCTGTCTCGAAGTCGCCTGAGTCACCGCTATTTCTAAAACCATCTCAAAGGAGTTGAGAGAATTCATTAAGATCATTGATTCCATCTCATTGACGTGAAATCCCGTGTAACAGGACCTCAGGGAGAAAAGGGAGAGCTAGGTCCCACTGGTCCACCCGGACCGCAGGGCGAGAAGGGCGCACGGGGTAAACACGGCAAGAGGGTAAGCTTCAGCGAGGTCCTCCGAATAAAATCGTCAAGATCAAGTCGTATCATGTTACGAAAATGCAATCTACCCGAAACCCCTCTTCCCTCCCTGTTTCTACATGAGCCCCTGTTTATCCCAGTTTGATTTTAATGAAGGATCTGGTATTCACCCCGAATTTTTCATTACGAAATTCCTACGAGTCATTGGCTACAATATCCATTCAAATTCCTGGGATATTCATTTCAAAGGAGAATTTTTCGCCTTGAAAAAATTCTTTTCATGCTTTTTCACTCATTTTTCCTTCAATTTTTTCATGAAAAAAAAATTTAGGGGTTTTAGGTTACATAAAAAATTAAACTAAACCATTTTTATCTAAAAAAATATTTTGTTCCATCAATTTTTTGTTCATTTCTTGAAAATAGTGGTTACGATATCCATTCAAATTCCTGGAATATTCATTTTAAAGAAGAATTTTTTGAAAAAAAAATCATTTCATGTTTTTTCATTTACCTTTTCGTCGATTTTTTCATGAAAAAGAAAATTTAGTGAATTTATTCCGCATAAAAAATGAAATGAAAACATTTTTATGTAAAAAATATTTCGTTCCATCGATTTTGTGTTCATTTTTTTCAAATTATGAAGGAAGAAAATAGTCAAAATGGGATGAACAGTCCTCCCAATTCCCCAAATCCCCGGCACAAAAGCATGATATTAATAATAAGCATGAATAGGCATGTGCACAGCATGAGAATCAGTATTGAAATCAGCATGTCAATAATTTGATGTGACCATCGGACCGACGTGCGTCGAAAGCAGCTTCTCCCGAGCACGAAATGAGACAACTTTTATTACTCACGATATCTACCTCCGGATGCATGAGTTCAGGCGCGTATCAAACAAGTTCAATATCTTGCACTCTACCTTTTCTATTTACGGTAAGGTGAGCTGCAAAGGGTGACATAACAACTCCAGCTCCACGAAATGTTATATAATATACATCAGATATTGAATAGCTATCGATTCTTTTTGTTGCTCATGAGAATGGCTTCAATCACTTCACGGCAGCTCACGTCATAACGAAAATTCATATTTCCTAAAAACAAATTTCAACTTCAACTTCAATAATGAGTAAATAGAGAGAAATAACGAACGTTCGTCGAATGTTGGTGGCTGCGAAATTATTAAAACGAAAGAAATTCGTCTGAAACTATAAAAATTATCAAGCACTATTCATAATTGCATAATTCTAATGAACTGGATTTAATAATAGTACTTGAATGAATCATAATCATGAACCGAGGGAGCAGCATCCGGTTGAAGTCATTAATTTTTCATAATGCTCCTTTTATTTAAATTAAACGATCTCACGAGTAATGAATGAAAACGCGCATTGAAGGGGTCATAAAGTGTATGACTCACTCCAATCACTGGGTGCTGTGAAACATATTCATAATTAACGAAAAATTCTAAAGATCTTTTCACCATTTTATGCACGAGGATAATTTCGGGACGACATCATGATTTATTACAGTAGCAGTTGACGTTCGACTTAGTTAACACATCTTAACACAACTTAACTTGATATTTTATCAAAACGCATTTCAACTTCAACTTCAATAATGAGTAAATAAAGACAAATAACGAATATTCGTCGAATGTTGGTGGCAGCGAAATTATTAAAATAGAAGAAATTCCACTGAAACGATAAAACTTATCAAGCAATATTAATAATTTAATTCTAATTAACTGTATTTAATAATCGTAATTGAATGAATCATAATCATGAACCGAGGGAGCAGCATCCAGTTGAAGTCATTAAGTTTTGATAACGCTCCTTTTATTTAAATTATTAAACGACCTCACGAGTAATGAATGAAAATCCGCATTGAAGGGGTCATAAAGTGTATGACTCACTCCAATCACTGGGTGCTGTGATACATATTCATAATTAACGAAAAATTCAAGGTTTTTTCACCATTTTATGCACGAGGAAAATTTTCGGACGTAATCATGACTTTTTACAGTAGCAGTTGACGTTCGATCTAGTTAATACAGCTTGACTTCATATTTTATCAAAACGAATTTCAATTTTAACCTCAGTAATGAGAAAATAAAAATAAATAACGAACGCTCGTCGAATGTTGGTGGCAGCGAAATAATTAAAACGAAAGCAATTCGACTGAAACTATAAAAATTGCCAAGCAATATTAATAATTCCATAATTCTAATTAACTATATTTAATAATAGAGCAATAATTGGATGAATCATAATCATGAATCGGTTGCACTTCAAAATATTTGTTTTCTACTTTATCTGTAGGGAAAAAAATTACAAGGAAATATGACTAAATATTCCGGATAAAGGGGGAGTGGAATTGCAGGAGCTCTTATTTCAATCAAATCACTGGAATTAGGGAATTTTACTGCATTTTCAGCGAACTGATTTTTTTTCTCCGTATAAAGGATCAAAATTTCCGGACATAATCATGATTCATCGCAATAGCAGTTGATGTCCAATGTAGTTAACACATGTAGCCATACTCTCGTTATAATGACAGAGTACACATTAATTTGGAGGGAGTAGTTGTTAGCCTGTAACTAATGTGTGTTTATGTAGCGAGTAACAACCCCTCCACTTCTCACTGCGTTGTATTTGGAATACAATCCACTAATCACTAATACAGGGCTGTGGCTTGTACCAACAGAGGTGTTGAGGAAAAAACAATCAATTAGCCAATTTTTGTTGTGAATGCGCCGTAAGTATCTGCCATTTGATTTACAGAGTTTAATTTTACTTTCTCCCCTTTGTTCTTTGAATAATCCAGAACACTGTGTATCAGTATTAATTAATCTTTTGTTTCATTCTGGTAGTGGAGATCAGTGTGTTTTATCATTATCTTTACTCATCCATTCCTCAAACACTCATCTCTCGTTCCAGCCTCTGTTGAACCCCTCCTTCATCCGTGCAATCTCATTAATTCCTATCTAAATTCCCGGAATCTACGTAACTCAAATACAGAATGATCGAGATTTTGCAAACAATGGGGGCTGGAAGTTTATAATTTAAGGGGGAAAGTAACTGGTGAGGGAGATTTTGGGGGAGAAGACATTTGGATTGAGAATATTGTCACTGTGAAAAAATTTAATAGGAAATCTAAGCGAATTTGCTAGACAATTCTATTGGATTTCTATTGAACTTTGTATTAGTTTTTGGCAGATTCTATTGAAATTTTCAATAGAAAATATTCTATAGAAAAAATCAATTGAATTCGATTTTCCTATAAAACTTATTCTATTCACGGAGAGAAATATTCAAGAAAAATTACGTATCTTTTCCGTAATTCCAGAGTGAAATGTGGTTGTAGGAAATTTTACGGAACTCTCACGGAATTTTTCCAGAGCGTTCCGTAATTTTTATCTGAATCTTCTGTGAAAAATTACGATACCATTACTCAAATTTTCTGAGTCGATGCCGTAATCGGTGAGCGAATTGTAAGTTTCGTAATTTTTACTGAACATTTCTCTACGTGTTCAGACACTTTCTATAGAATTTTTTCGGCCCAATTTTCCTAAGGTTTTTGGTTGGCTATCTTGATGAAAAGAAAAGAAAAAATATAATGAAAAAAACTTGGAACAGTAATTCTTTTGACTTTGCAATTGCTTTGAACTTTTTGTTTCCAAATAGAAGCTTTATCACAGAAGCATTATTTGTTATTCTTCTATAAGAAGAATCTACGAAAAATCTCGAAAAATCAGAAAAAATGAATCAATGTTCGATGACTAGCAGAGTAAACCAAATGGTTTAAAATTCATAAATAAATAAAAACAAAGATATTCAATGACCAATATGAAAATCATCGTCATTGTCAAAATTTGTGATAAACAATTTATGTCGCAACACCCTAGTCTAACGGGAGACTATTATTTGAAAAAATAATTGAAGAAAGAATGTGATGGCTCGTTTTCTTACACTTATCAAAGTTTAGAATTCATGGCAAAAATAATCAATGATAAATAATTTTTTTACTTTTTAAATTTATTTTTCTTCATCACATCATAGAGCTTCAATTCAAATAAACCATTCCTCTGAGTGTAAATAAAATCTATGAAGAGCACATTCCCAATTAAACACCAATATTCTCAGTCCAAAAAATATCCATCTCCATAAAAAAAATTAATCTGCAAGCCTCGAAAAATAACCGCTTAACCCCTGTGAAAAGGCATAAATTAAGGGATTGGATCGATAGGTGTGGAAATATAAGATAACCCCTGGAAATCACAAATACGGAGGACCTGGTTGGATCTGACCTTTTGAGTGTCTCGTTTGTAGGGTCTCAATGGAGAGTGCCGTTGTACGAGAGCCGCGATTGGTCAGCCCGGTCCGAAGGGTGAGCCCGGGGAGAGAGGCGCCACGGGCTCTGAGGGTCCACCAGGTAGACTCATAATTCACCACAAAAAAAAAAACAAAAACAGATTAAGCAACAGCGATAACCATTCCCGCAAGGACCCCTCTGAGTTTCCCCTAACAATTCTCATTCTCAAGAGTTTCAAGGAACTTTGGTATTTTCCACTATTTTTTTCAAAGTACGGTCAATCTGGTTAATATTCTGGTGCTCGAAGAGTGCTAGGGTACCAACACGCTTTTGGGATCTGCACAATATTCCCAGTGGTGTATTTTCATACCCCGGCAGTATCTGGCTTGAGTTTCTCGAAGAATAGTCTCGCTGGCCCATTGCATTATCTGTGTTGGAATTTTCAGGACCTAAAGGAGATTCTGGGCCACAAGGACTACCGGGGGTTGATGGTGTCAATGGGGAGCATGGCATACAGGGCCCACCAGGACAGCCGGTAATCTATTTCACGTGAACTTATTTACATTTCAATAACGAAGTGTAAAACGGTTCAAGTCGATTTTGACTATTGGCCAGTTTTTAATGAATATCTCGAAATCTAAGGGGGATAGAGACATTTTCGTAATCACCATTTTTGCCGCCTTCAATTCGCTCTACAAAAAAGGTTATTACAAAAAATTTGCTATCTACCTTAGATTTCGAAATATTTATTGTAAACTGACCTGTAGTCAAAATCGACTTGAACCGTTTTACCGCTTCGCTATTGATTTGATTCTCAAGATCTATTTCTACTTTAACTCTTCGAAATAATAATTAATAATGATAATTATACTATTAAATGAAAATAAATTGTAAACAAAAAATTTTTATTCACGTGTTTGTCCAACAAAAAATCAATTCTTTTCTCAAATCTTCGCACAATCAGAGTGAATAAAATGAGTGAGTGCTTCTTTTTTTAATGAATAAATAAATAAAATTAATGAATAGATAACGATCATAAATTATATGAATAACCCCTGAATTCCCCTTTAGATGTCAAATAAATCCAACAACATATTCCAAAATTATTTATACTTCTCTGTCAGTACCCGGAGATTAATATTCCGAAATATGCTAATGAAATATTGCAGGGACTGTCAGGACCTAAAGGGGAGAAGGGAGAGTACGGTGACATTGGACCTCCAGGGCTGATGGGCCCTCCTGGGTTACCAGGTCCTCCGGTATGTATAACACCACGTGACACATCCCTAATTGAGTGGATTGCGAACTGTTAGAGAGCTGAGCTAAATGCTTTTACGTTACAGGGAGCACCGGGTCTCAGGGGAGAAAAAGGAGAGAAGGGAGAATCGGTGAGTTATTCAATTTCACTCGGTACTTTAGGAGGCTCGAGGCTAGAAGAACGGAGGTCATTGATTTTCCGTCAGTCATCCATTCCATTCAAGCTCTTTTCTTCATTATCAATGTTCGAGTAAAATCGATTATCATTCTCATGTCAACACCACCTACAACTGTACATTTCATTCACTCAGAGAAGGACTCAGATAAAGAGCTATTTATGTTGTCTCTCTGGCGATGGAATTTTATAACCGAGTTACTGATTTAAGGTGTTTCGGGTGTAGATCTTCAGGGGTTGAAACGGAAGGGGAGTCCTATTGTTATCGAGCCCTGATTCAATCGCTGAACACGAAAAATCCAAATTTTCAAATAAAGTTTTCCATGATAATATTGACGTTTTAAGCTTTGATTTTTGTCCATGAATTGATTGATTTTTTTGCAATCAGTTACGCGTGTTGCACTGTTTTTCAAAACTTTCTTCATAATTATTGGGATTGTATAAAAATGCCTAGAAAAAGTGGCAATGTCGCACGAAGAGGCCATTTCATTTTGCCAAGCTATTCTAACCGGTTCAAGTGTGTGGTGTATACCCTGTGTGATCCCATGTGGCCCCACGTTAAATCCATTGACAGTGACAAAACAAATAAAAAATGGTTCACTTGCCTCCAATTAAAACTACTAAACGTTGGAACGGTAAATTAGTAACGGACGCAGTGTATAATTTACGTATGCAATATTCGGAGACGGGCAAGAGTAGGGGAAAGGCCGATGACAACGCTGAGAGCGATGAGGACATGAGTGAAAATACCTTACATTGAGGGGCGACGAGTTGTAGACTTAGAGACAATGACAAAACAGATGATTTGCAAATCAAGTTGAAAATAATAAAAGTATTAAAAAATAGTAGACTACAATTCGTTATTTTTTGATACAATCAATATTCTCCGTAAAATTTACACCAAATGACTAGAAAATTTGTACCGACGTTTAAATTTCGCGCCAATGAGGTCGAGAGCGACATTCTCCCATCTCATGGTGGAGTGAACGAAAAACCGCAGAAATCGACGATTTGAGGCTTTATTATTCGGTATATCTTGGTCAACAGATCTCGAATAGGGTTAAAAGTCGCATGAAAGTGAAATCGAAATTGACTTTCTCCCATGCTATTTTCTCACACATTTTTCATGATTTTTAGAGGCGTCAGAAAAAATCTTCGAATTTAGACTGCGATAATCTCGGTCTTACAGCTAGAAAGGATTAAAAAATATTGAAATTCAAATTTTTTTTCTCGAACGCAAGATCTGGTAAAATTTTGGGAAAAGTCCCAGTGATGTAGCAGTCAGATACTCCTTCTCTGAATTTTTCAATTTTTTAAAATTGTTTTGACTTTTTACATGAAACACCTTAATATCTCTCTCATTTCGAAATGAAATAGAAATTGTGAAATTTGTACGAAACCTCCGTCCCTCTAGTATCTCAGAATGACTTTTCAATTTATTTTAAAATGCAAATTATCATTTTCATGATGGACAACGCGCAGAAGTACAAAAAGTTAAGAAGAAGACAGGTGAGTGATTTCTTTTATTATCTCTTTCTAAAGTTATTCAAATGATCACGGGATTATTGCGACGAGAGATTCTTGCTTTGTAATTCATGCCCTTGATTTTGATTACAGGGTGATGGCACGTTTGAAGTCAATGCCGGTGAAGTGGTGAGTGTCGAATGCCACTGGATAAACCACTATTGATTATTTTGGTTAGCTACCCAGACATCATAGCAGTGAATTTAATTTGGTTGCTCGTGTTGTATTACAGATAATGGGACCTCCAGGTCCTCCAGGACCACCTGGCTCAGCCGGCTTACAAGGGCCACCGGGTATTAAGGGGGATAGAGGACATGATGGTGCCAAAGGCGAACCTGTCAGTATTAGTTCATTTATTAAATTATTAGGTTTATGTCTGAAGATGAGTGCATATCTTTGTGAGAAGTTCATCCTCTTCTAGATTTTAAGATACTTTTACAATCACGATTTTTTGAAAAATTATAGTGTTATTTTTAACAACAGTTGTTAAAAATGACACTATAATATTTAAATTTTATTCTTATTTAAAATGAGCATACGCGTCATAACATCATTTCTCGAAAGTTGTGTAAAGGAAACTATCGCCAATATTATATTCATTTATTTATTCTCTATTTGTGGTACAAAAAGACCAATAGCTGAAGCTAATAATAGAATAATAGATCCCGAAGTGATTCCTTGAAAGTTGTATCGCACAAATATTAAATATCGCAAATATTTTTAAAGTCTGTTTCACACTCACCTGAATCCATCTCATTCGTCTATTCTCACGTCATAGAGACGTCAGACTAGTACAAACGCTCTTTTCTCAGCTCAAGAAATAATTTTTGCGGTATTAAGGCGTAAAGTACGATACAAATCATGTCCTCATGACTTATTCTCATTAATAATAATAATTAAACTCTCCTAATAAAATCATTCCCGATAAGATATCCACGAATATCGACACAACGCTATCTTTATTCCTCCAGCAATGTAATCGCATGCAGCAAAAAAACGGACATTCCATCGCAAAAATAAAAAAAAAACTCGTAAATTTTATTATTTGAACAACATTTGAAGTTCTCAAGTGCCCCAGATATTTTTTACCCCCGAAATAATAAAATCATGAAGCGAAGTAACTTTTCCCTAACAACGTATACTTTCCCCAGTGGAATTCCGTCCTTGCGGGATGAATTATTGAAGAGCGCGGAAAAAAAAATCGGAAATACGAGAAGAAACAAAAGTCAAGAAATTAATGTAAACTTCGACAAAAAGTATCTTGAAATAAACATGAGAAGCTGAATAAAATACGAGAATTCGGCGTGTACAGTGGAAAGTTGTAGTTAAGATAAAAAAAAAGAGTGGCATCAGAACGAATAACTAATGGCTGGTTGTTTAATGTTTCAGGGTGAGAAAGGCAGTAAGGGAGATCCGGGTCCAATGGGACTGCCCGTAAGTAGAAACCCACGTTACTGGAAATAACCCCCTGAAATTTTGATTGACACTCATTTTCCCATACATCTGTTGCCTTCTGCAGTCACGTGACATTAAGGATGTTTAGCCAAACCGAGTTGTCCACTTGATAGGTTAAACATCCTTAATTGCTGCTGGAATTTTTTTTAATTTGGAGATTTGAATTTTCAATGTTTTAATTCAAATCCTTTTTTCCGTGGAAAACCAATAGAAGAAAGGGATGAAATAAATTGTTGACTCTAATCATTCAAATTTGGTGTTTTACAGGGGCCAATGGGTCTCAGAGGAGAGTCTGGTCGGCCGGGTGACTCTGGTAAACCCGGTGCCTCGGTAAGAAAGCGAGCCTCTCGCTCCTAACGACGCCCAATTAATTAATAGCCGTCATCAGTCAATTGTCGAACTTCCCCCTTTCATCGATATATCACTGCCTAGCTCGCTGATAAATCCCTACCATAAGCACTCTCTTAAATCCAACTAAAAGTAGTAACATCCATTTAGAACTTGAATACCCTGGTTTTAATTGGGAGTAGAAAAATGGGGCGATTAATAATTGCGAGTATTAATCAGTGAATTTCGTCGTCTAATTCTAGTTCTTTGGTAATTATGAAGGTCCAAGTGGTGCAGCCCCTGGGGTAGAGTGTATTTTCGAGAACAATTTTTTGGTCCTCAAGGGTTTCAGAGGGTGACATTTACCAATTGAGTCCATCAGCACCGAAAAAAATTCATGTATTCAAGTATCTTTTACAGTTTTTTTTACAAATTTGTCAATTGAATGGCATGTGAAAAATTTGAAAAAAATCATGAATATTCAGCGTCATTAAAATTACATTTTGCATAGAATTATGGTTTGTTTTAATATTCGTTGTTTATAAATAAATAATTGAAGTTATTTAAACTTTCGGAAATCTAATTTTTTTAGGCTTGAAATTGATTTCTGGTAAAATTCGGAATATGAATAAATTGATTACAATGCTGAACAAATTATTTTTGCGGTGGAAAATCGATTGTTTAGGAATTGTTGATAGAAAATGCTCGTAATTGTCAAAAATGACAATTTTGTAATTTATTTTAACCGAACGTTTGTGATGTGAATTCATTTTTTACGATTTAACACAGTAATTTTTAACGGATGAAACAGGATGAAATGCACGGACGAAAAAATAATTTTCAAAAGTGTTATAAACGCTTTATTTTTTTACCAATTTTTACTATTAAACGACAAGAAATTACTTAAATCATATGAATCTTTACTATTTAATAAATGATAATTTCTTTGGCTTATCGGTCAGTTTATTGTGATTGTAATTCAAAAATAGCACCAACGTTTCGACCCTGGTTCTGGGTCCTCTTCAGGGTAATTTTACATAAATCATGTCAAACCGTGCTATGGCTCGGGTGGTGGATTCTATAATTCTAAAAAATTCAGTCCTTCCTCCCCCCCCCCTCCTCTTTTTTAGAATGAATATACGTAGAGCAAAATTATTGATAATAATTTCCGAGGATGATAAAGAAGATTAAATATAGTTTTTCACTTCGCCTATCCAAAAAATCCCCCTCTCCCTCGTCCTCTTCCGCGAATATTCATTTTGAAAGTGAGAGAGAGTATTTTTTCAACCGACGAAGTAAAATAATATATTATTACTAGTCCGTAAAGAACCATTTTTTCACACGCACGCGTAACACATCCTATTTTTTGTAATACCTGCCGAGTTCACTGTTCGGAACCGTAGTGGGGGTAGAGTTGTTGCTTTTGTGCACGGTGTGCGTAAAACAATCATTTTACACAGACAAAACGGTTTCGAAAAGTGAACTTTTGAGGCAGGTATTACAAAAATTCATATTTATCCTCCTAAATTTTACTCGTGTCAATTGAAAATTCAACTTCTATGCTACCATTTTCCACTACACCGACTCTCAATTTTTACCACGTTCCACAGTAAGTTTTCCAGCGGACTCCATTATATTTTTATTTTGTCAGCTGTATTTTTTTATCGAGCACGTCGTAGTTTTTCATTCGTTCTTAAAATTAGTATGTTAAATATTCAATTTTCGAGTGTGGCGGGTACACTGGAAGAAAAACAGCCGAGTTCGCAAACAATTCTCACTTGTGTCAAAAACATCGTTTGTTAAAAATGATCAAAAAAGGATTTTTTGTGCCAAACTCTCCCCCTCCCCCCACTTGGACCCCCTCACCCACCAAATCTAACATAATGACCTTAACAGCAGGTTGGCCCGTGGTGATCCGCTAACAACTAACACGGGGATAGGTATCTTCTACACCAACAACAACAGCCCACCACCTTGAAATGGGATAACCGACAATAACCTATCTAACAAGTGCACGATAATTAGTCAACCAAAAGAATTCTTGCACTAAACATAAACAGAGAACTGTACTTACAACTCCAACGGCTCTCGCCGATAAAAACCAAGAGCCCTAGATCGTAATCGAAATAATTGGAAATTCGATCATCATCATCAACCCCCCCTCACCACCAAAAAGATGAAATATTTGCGGTCTTGTGACTAGCCACAAGGCCCTTACCCCCAACAACTGTAACATCGACAACCCCTCTAAAAAAAAATCATATTATGTAAAAAAATAATAAGTGCCATCCCACCGTGGACGCGTGCATATAAATATATATTTATATATATTTTGTCACTGGATTAAGACGCAGTATCGTGCAGTTAACGGTGCATAAAATTCAAACGTTTCCAAACGTCATTGAGTACTGATAATTGAACATACTGTAATTCATATTTGCCAACAGACTTTCATACCAAAAAAAAGAAAAACTTAAAAAAAAATGATACTTAAGAGGTCCTCATATGAAATGTGGGCTCTGCGGTGCTGGTACGAGGTGAAACGCTGCCGATAAACTTTAACGAAACAACAAGATGAAAAATATTTAACAACAAAAGCTCACTTTCTAACTTTATTCCTATATGTCTGTGTATCTATCTCTTCTCGTTCTACTTGTATTCTATTGAATGAAAAATACATTATTTCGATGAAATCGTGTATTCGACGTGTGCGTCGTTAGACGACACACCAGAGACGATGAATAAAGCGAAGTGATGTGATCTGATGGTCAATGACACCAATGTATGTCAAAAAAAATATGTATAATGTATACCTCCATTTTCAATTCTTTTGACTCGATGAGAAAATACAAACTATATGTCCTTTCTGAGATTTAAGAGCGAATGTATTATATTATATTATAAAGAAAAGGTGGGAAGAATGAAAAAGAGGAAAAGTTTACGTAATTTCCGCACGGAGAGAAAAGGGGGATAAAAATTACCGAGAAAATCGCGGCGAGTTTTACTGTAGAAAAGGTAATCCTGGAGCGAACTGTAATTCAATGAAAAAATACCTGTTTGTAGAGGATATTTTACGATTCATTCGGTAAAAAAAAACATTTATGGACGAGAAAATTATTCTCTTGTATAGTAGACTCCCGTTGTAGTAGCATTTTCCCTCATATTTATTTTTCCTCGCTCAGCCGTTTTCCCACTTTACTACCCACGGGCTCCGGAGTAAACACTTCAACGTTATCTTCGAGATGGCATTGTCTCTCAATTCCAGAAGAGCCAACAAATAAAATACTCTGAATACGAATTTTTGATCATAAAATGCCAAAACCGGCCCAAATAGCGGTATGAATTAAAAAACTTGCATTGAAGAAATTACAAATTATTTTTTTCAACTTCGTCAACGTGTTGTTTATGGGAATACTTTTAGCGACGGAATAAAATAATTCAGCTGGTCCTTTACATTTTATGGACGTTTAGAATGACTATTTCTCTGATAACGAGCTCCTTAAGAGTTCGAAACCTTGCAAACTGCGAAATGATTTGTAATTTCTTCAATGGAAGTTTTTGAATTCATATTGCTTTTTTGACCGTTCTTGGCTGGAAGTAGTTAAGAAAAAGATTCTAGTTTTGTTCGGACAAGGTGAATTAGATAATGAATCAGAATAAAGAAAATAACAGCAAGATTGCTGTTAAAAAAAGACAAGGTGAATCTTACAACTAAAGCCAGAAGGTCAAAAAATGAAGCTCACACACTTTGTCATATGGGGATATTTCTTTTAAATTCACTGCTCGTTTCCACGCCTTGCACAGATCGATAATAATTGATCACAAACACCTCACGTTTGCCAGGTTTAAGAAAATAGTGAAAGGTTAGCTTTTGCTTATCAAATCGACTTTCACAGCGTGGCACACAGCAAAGAACTCTGGATATGCACTTTTTCGATGATTTTTCCGCGGGAAATTCCATTTTTTACAATAAATTTACAATTTATCGCACTTGACAGCTAGGGCTTGGATCCCATGTTGTTATCCCACGCGGATTCTCTTTTGCCCCACCAGAAGTCATGTCCGAATCGAACGGATCCCAATAACGGGAGTCTACTGTACAGTGACATTTGCCACACCGATCGGGTATTTTTTTTCTTGTACCCATCTGAAGGTCATGGGGACGAATGGAAGTGAAATTATACCGAACGCGTTCGGTAAATAATCGTTCACTGCAATATTAAGCAATCATTTCGTTTTGCACTTTTTTTGAAAATGGAGTTCCCTCCACGATTACTTGACTTAGTCAGTAATTTTTCTCCAACTCTTTTCTCCGTGTGAACGAATGTGTCCCATTCGTGGTGGTAAACCCATTGGGCAATAATTAACCTAGATACATCGAGCATTAGTTATTGTCTGATGAATGATGAGAGAGAATCCAACGATGAATGTGACGAGTCAACAACCAGGGAGAAATAAAATGCCCAGCATCTCCGCATTGTAAATAAAACATAAGCAGCCTAGAGAGAAAAACCGTCTAGATTGCAGGGCTATTTAGATAGATATGAAATGAAATTTTTTTTTTTCGATTGAATTGAATAGTATAAATTGAAGGGAGTTGAGAGGGATATTCAATGAAATTTATAGTACCTCCTGAGGACTGCTGACTCGATGTTCGAGCGTTTGGAAAATTGAGCGCAATCAAGAAATCCATTCATCGAGATAGTCAGGTTTTTTTTTCTTCTAGAATTATGAAGTTGATTGAAAAAACAAGATGGGAAGTATAAATAAAAGATACATTGATTGTATAACTACGTATGCGCGATGGGAAATGAAGGGGGAAATATGGCCTACGAATCGCTTCTATTGTCATTCAGTACTCAACAAGTTGTAATTGCTAGTTATTCGATATAGGAGACTCCAGTGAGATTGTATGTAAAATTGATTGAAAGTGAAATTCACAAACTTGCATGATTGATTGAATTTGTATTATGAGTATGAGAAGAGTGTTTTTTTTGTCAATTTTTTGTTTTTTTTTTAATCAAAAATTTATGAGGGGTTATTCATTCGTACGATTTTACCGATAACATCTCTTGGTCTTTCGCTCATCACATTTTACTCGGACGATTTGATTTAAATTGATTTGACCCACACAATTTGACTCATGGCAATGAATATTGCGGGTCAAATTGATTTAACCCATTTGGCCCACAATATTTATTGCGGTGAGTCAAATATTGTGGGTCAAATTAATAGGTTAAATCAATTTGACCCGCAGTATCCACTGCGATGAGTCGAATTGATTTAACCCATTCCAGATGAATATTGTGGGTCAAATTATAGGGGTCAAATCAATTTGGCCCATCACAATGAATAGTGGGTGTCAAAGTGTTCTGACCCATCGCAGTCAATATTGTGAGTCAAGTTGTTTTGATCCATCGCAATCGATAAAGGGATCTGACCTATACGACTGGACACATCGCAGGAAAATATTGTGGGTCAACTTGATTTAACCCCTACAATTTTGCTCATCATAATTGATATTGTGGGTGAAATTAATTTCACCACTATGATTTGATTCATCGTAACTGATATTATCTGCGTGTGACATTGATTTGATCAATACCATTCGACTCATCCCGATAAACATGGTTCAATTTTATTGATCCATAGGATTAACTTCACTGCAATCAATATTGTGGATCAAATTGGGTTGACCCGCACGATCTGCCCTGACCATAAACCCGTAATAATTTGGGTGATTCCATTGATCTCAATCAATTTCGTTAATTTGGATGAAATCCCGTGGGTCAAATCATACAGATTAAATCGTATAGGTCAAATACTGGGCGTCAAATTGTGTCTGTGAAACCAATAAAAATGACTAGCCCCTCGTAAATACTGGCCTCAGACATACCGACAATTGATGCCTCAACGAGACCTATAATTTACCTTCAATTCTCCCCCCAATTGTTCATAATTTTTTATTGTAATTATAATTATCAAAGAATGAACAAAAAAAATAAGACTTACGCTGGCGTACTCGGTGAGGCTAAAATTATGAATCAGCAAGTATGCGCGCGACTCTGATTGCAATTATGTTAGTTGTACTTTTATATATAGATAGACCTAGATTAAAACCGTTTTAGTATTAAGACTTTTTTGGCAAAAACAAATTATTTGAGATAACAGACGAAGAGAGACAAGGACATTAACACATTAAACACGCACACGTACTTCAATACAAATGGGAGACACACACCGTGAGATTTATCGACGGGAGAGAATACTCGAGATTAATGTAATCAGAATTACGTTTACGTCTCCTCCTTCAGAGTGTAAAAAAATAAGAATGCGAGGAAAAATTGTTTGGTAACTAACGTTAAATTCAAAAGAATCTAATGGAGGAGTCTCTGATGTCTTTATTGAACATTAATATTAAGCGTAACATGACATTTGTTAATCGACGATGACATTTCCATTAAAAATACGAGGATGATGATAATCCATTGTCACGTTATGAAATTTACTAACAACCACGGAAAATTGATGAATTTTGATGAATTGTTTCATAATGTCCTGATTAATAAACAGAATGTGCATGTGCCTGTTGCCAATTTGCTTTATACTAAACCTAGAAAATTCCCAATTATTCCTCACCACCTGAATTTATTTCTACTTGCATTTTGTTTTGTTCTTGAATCAGCAAAGACTGACTATCTCACGCAGACAATGAGGAAATTAACAGTTGAAATTGATGATTATTGGATGTATTAACAAGTGCATTGAGCATAGGAATCTTGTTTCTTCGCTGGCCTGATCGTCCGTGAATTTTTGTTCCTGATTACTAAAAATAATGAATTTTTTTTTTTTCAATTTCACGTAATTAATTACACGATTACGGAACAAAGGGGACTGATGATGAGGGCATAATGCAGCATCATTTCACTCTATCACGTTGCGCGTCAGCTGTGCATAGTGTGCGCTCGTCGGTCGTTCAAATTTTTCCCTTCTATTTATTTATTTTTGTTTTTTCATTGTTGAGGACATCGTATTTATCATGAAAATTTATTTTTATGTATACCTGCCTACTTCCACTTGTTCGTCTCCTTTCAGGGATCACCGGGTTTAGATGGCATGAAGGTGAGTGAAATCAATGTAAATAGGGAATTGGATATGGTGGGGGAAGCATGAAAAATACTGAATGATCAATTCTGCTTTTCATCAGGGAGCCCAAGGTGAGCCAGGCACTAAAGGCGAGAGAGGCGATCCAGGACTACCGGTAAGTCCACACTGTCATAATACTAAAATTTATCATCGAAATTTAACGCGCAGTAAATTCACACCCAGAATATTTTACGGTATACCGAGTCGATTTATTTGACCTTCGGTTCTTGATGAGAATCTTTGATTTTATAAGAATGAAAAATTTTGTTGAATTTTCTTAGGTATAAAATATGTCCTTTTATTTTTTTTTTCTTTGGCAAGTTTTTCATGGACAGAACAAATGCAAAAATACTACTTCTTGAAAAAAAACACGGAATAATTGCCAAATTGCCATTTTTCAAAATTACAATTGTAATTCAGTAGCGATGCGAATTAATATTGAATTAATATTAATTGAGATTAACGCAAGGGATTTTAATTTAAAAACTTTTCTCATTAAAATAAAGTAACCACTTTCTCATTCTGAATACAATGCCTTCTAGAACAATGAGTAACTTATTTCTGGAAACTAGATCGATTCAAATTGATTTCACCCACACAATTTGACTCATTGCAATGAATGTTGCGGGTCAAATTGATTTAAACCATTCCAGAAAAATATTGTGGGTCAAATAATAGAGGTTAAATCAATTAACTATCAATTGCGATGCGTCTAATTGTAAAGGTCAAATCAATTTGACCCATCACGATTAATAGTGGGTGTCAAATTGATCTAACTCATCGCAGTGAATATTGTATAAAATTGATTTGATCCATCGCAGTCGATAATAGGAACGGCGATGGATCATAATTGGAATCCATACGATTGGATACATGGCAAGAAAATATTGTGGGTCAACTTGATTTAACCCCTGTAATTTGATTCATGACAATTAATAGTGGAGGTCAAATTGATTTGACTCATCGCAATCGATATTATACGGCTATCAAATTGATTTGACCCATCACAATTAATAGTGGGTGTCAAGTTGATCGGACTTATCGCAGTCAATGAGAGCGCAGTTAATATTGTGGATAAAATTGGTCTGGCCCATACGATTGGACACAGAGCGGAAAAATATTGTGAGTTAAATTCATTTGACCGATACGATTCGACTCATCATAATTGATATTGTGGGTCAAATTGATTTCACAACTACGATTTGACTCATCATAATTAATAGACAGGATCAAATTGATCTGACTCATCGCAATCAATGCTATTTATATACCCAATTAATTTGATCCGTACGATTTGACTCATATCGAAAAATAGTGTGGGTCAAATTGATTCCCCATGTGATTTACCTGACAGCAAAAAATATTGAGAGCCAAATTAACTTGACAAATTCGATTTGAGACATCATAGCTGATATTGTAAGTCGAATTGATTTGACCTGCAAGATATAACTTATCGCAATCAATATTTTGGGGCGAATTGATTTTACCCATACGATTGGGCTCGTCGCAGCGAAATATTGTGGATCAAATTGACTTCCCATATAATTTACCTCACGGCGAAAAATACTGAATAACAAATTGACTTGACAATACAATTCGACTCATCATAATTGATATTGAGGGTCAAATTAACTTCACCACTCCGATTTGACTCATCATAATTAATAAACGGGGTCAAATTTATCAGACTCATCGTAATCAATGTTATTTGCCTATCAAACTGATTTGACAATTTATCAAATCAGTTTGATACCCAATGTACAATGAGTAACTTATTCCACGAAATCAGAAATTTTGTTCTCGTGCATAAGGACCTCTCCCGCATAGGTCTCACGTCGCCCTGAGAAAACTTCACTCGAAAATGCTCTCTCCCCACCCGCAATCTCCGTATATTCCCCCAAAGCTGAAATCTACTCCATCAAACTCCCCCCAACACCATATTAATACCATTTTCGTTTTATCCCCAGGGTACCGACGGGATTCCTGGTGCACAGGTATTGCTATCACACCAAGTCAACAACCAAAACCCCCATAAACCGTCCTACCCCGCCAATATCCCAATAAAACTTTCACAGTCTCTTCCAGTCATTACCAGAGTGAGTTGAAACTAACTCTCGCTTGTCTGCTCACTAACTGTCCATTCCCCTTTACTCCCACATAAACCCACCCCCTCCCCCCAACCCTCGAGAAACCCATCTCCATTCTCTTCACTATTCCAAATCCCCGTTTGTCTCCCATGTACAATTATTCTCTCTATCCTTATACATACCATCCCCCGCTGTCTAAAACCTTGTGCGGCACTGTCGGATATCCGGCGCCTCCTCCATTCCAACAATTTCACACTTCCTTGGCGATTAATCACTCCTGCAATGTGACCGTATTACAGGGCTCCAAAGGCGACAAAGGTGCCCCAGGCGAAACCGTGAGTACACTAAACACACCAAGTTTTCATCATTTTCCCTTAAGCCCTCCTCCCCCCCCCCCCCCC